ACTACAGGAATCAACAAGAGCCCTGAACAACAGGCGTCTCCATTCTCCGGAAGGCCGCGTGGCAGAGCAGAATGGAGAGGTGATGGCTGCAGATGTCATTCAACTTCAGAAGGATAACAAAGAGCTGGAACAGCAAATTGCTGAGAAGAACAAGGTGAGCTGGAACAACTGGTAGTCTTTACCCTTTTAATTAGGAAGCCAAATGATTAGTGCTGACTGTGCTGCAGCCCTGCAAAGACAGGCTTGCCAAAACAGCTGATCCCACATGAATCCGATATTCTGTGAGTACTTCTTTCCTCTGTCTTTTGCAGGGATCTGGCAGCAGAGGGTAAAAGCTGCAGCCAGAATTGTAGGAGTCCTTATCTATTTTGGAGGAAAGACGCTCCAAATGATACTGTTTGCAGGTTCCCTGCAGAACCCTTCTGTGTGAATTCAGTTCCTTCCACTGTGCTGTGCCTGGCACAGGCCCGCTAACGTGTGCAGCCAGAAAGACGAGACATCCGCGTTGCTTCTTCAGAGCTGCCAGTGTTGTTTAATGGTTGTTTCACTCGCTAAACCTGTTTGTCCTGGGCTTTTCTGGGCACCTCTCAGTTAAAACGTGTACTGACGCTGAACGCTGTGTAACACCATCCTTTGCTGTGCTTACAGATGATAAAGCAGCTACAACAAAGAATGACGGAACTCAAGAAAACTCTTCAGAAAGAGTTGGTAAGGATTGTGTGGTTTCAGTCTCTTCAGACAGCACTTACCAACAGTTAATTGCACTACTGAAAAGCTTCGCTGCTAGCTAGACTGTAATTTTTTGAACTGGGGATGTCTGCAGTTCCTTTGTGTTTGCAGGTGGGTCAGTGAACCCTTAAGCTATGGCAGTGCTTTATTCGGGATCAGTTCCTGAGTGGCCACCACCACTGAGAGAGCTGGCCATCACCATGCAGCTCTTGCAATGGCGAGTGTTCCTGCGGTTGGTCGCCTTGAGCATTTAAGGCCTTTCTGTAGAGTGAAGAAGCTGATTGCTTACTCAGCTGCCCTCCAGCTATGTTCTGCCTGGGAGTGGTATCTGCCCCAGGGAAAGCTCCCCTTTAATCACGTTTACAATACTGTTCCTCTCCAGGGCAAAAACATCTTCTATTTATTTTAAAAAAGAATAAACAGAGAGGTTACAATTGTTATTTTTGTTCTTAGTTTGTAAATTTGTTTTGGAGAAAGCCGCAGGCTTGGAAAGCACAGAGCGGGTTAGTGATAGAATTAAATAACCAGATGATAATTTCTCCTGTGGAGCCAGGGCCGTGCTGGTTTGGAACACGTAGCTCTAACAGAACCAGCTTCTGTCCTGGAGTCCAGGATGAGGTGGAAGCACTTCTCTGCTGTGACTCACAGAGGACAAGAAGCTCGGCCTAGTGACGCCCAGGCTGTCCCCGCCTTGTGGGTGCAAACCCTGCGTTAGCTAGCTTGGACCCGGATCCTCTCCAAGTGCCGGGCTGACGGTCTGCAATGTACTTGTCTTTTCTTTTAGAAAATAAGACCTGACAGTGAGGTACCTGAAGTACGTGAAAAAGCAAATTCTGAAGTGCCTAATGCTTCTGTGACTGTCACAAACAACTCCGATTTAAATGACTCGAGGGAGATAAACTTTGAATACCTTAAACATGTCGTACTAAAATTCATGTCCTGCCGGGAATCCGAGGTAAAGAAGTAACTTACCTTCTCTTTCGAAGTCTGTCTTTCTCTAGAAAGTGCTGCACTTTCCTTGCTAAGAACACTTCTGTGCCAGTTCCGTGCTTTTGCACTTAGAAAGGTTTTGATCAATTCAGCATGATGAAGCAAAATAGCTGAGTGATATCTTTGGAAGTACAGATTATTATGAACTAACTGAAGGGGAAATGTGAATTTTTAAGATGTAGTTATGTCTGAAAGTTAAATACCTGAAGCTGCGGGACATTCCCTGTGCACGGCTCTACAAAGCGTGTGGAGTATGTAATTAGGGTGGTCATACGTTTAAGGCAGACAGGAAGGAACCCAAAGAAAAAGACACGAACCACTTGCTGTTGGTCTGTAACAGGCAATTTCTTGTGCTTTGGGAGCTCCTTCACATTCTCCACATTGTGTCAAAAAAAATTAAAGGTAAAAAAAAGTCATGACAACAATACACTTTGCTTAATTGCAAGTCGGGGGTAAGATCAAGAAGTCACTGTGCAACTTCATGGTATCCTGAGTACAAAATACTGTGTTTTTTTTCAGGCATTCCATCTAATTAAAGCTGTATCTGTGTTACTGAATTTTTCACAAGAGGAAGAAAACATGCTTAAAGAAACTTTGGAGTACAAGGTAAGGATTCTGGTCTACTTGGAGACTCTAACAGCACTCCCAGCAGACGGAATGAAAATTCTTAGATGTGGAGAGATCATGACAAGTATCCTTCCCAAACGTTAGCTACCGTAGTAGATGTAGTTTGTTATTAAAGTGTTAGCTAATCATACAGGTTGGAAACTGTCCATTTTGGTGAGAGAAACAGCAGCTTCCCAGTGCTTTAGAGGAGGGGCAATAGCATGGCTCAGCCCAGTGGACTCGGTCCGTGAGGGGAAGCTGGAAGCTCCTTGCTGAGTACAGTTAGATGGTGAAAAGCGAGAAGCCAAATTCTTGGTTGGTCATTTTCATGTTGGGCTTAGATACCTAGAGCCCTCTCTACTTCCTTCAGTCTGAAGTCTGCAGTGTTCTAGTTGATAAATAGTTCTATTTGGTAAATAGCTCTTCCCTAGGTCTACATACCATATTCTTTTTCAGCACTGTGTGTTGTGCTTTCCTGTCCTAGATGTCATGGTTTGGGTCAAAGCCATCTCCTAAGGGCAGCATCCGGCCGTCCATCTCGAGCCCGAGGACTCTGTGGCCTTAAGGGAACCTGAACCGGGCAGTCAGCATGTAGCCACTTCTTTCTGTGAAAAGAACGCTGAACACACTCCTTCAGGTGTGTCTTAATCACTGTCATTGCAGTATTTTGTACAAGAACTTCTGCCACTGTTTACAAAACTAATGCTGTGCAAGGAGAAATCTTCACTGCAAACGGAAACGCCTCTCCTGAGCTGGATGCGGGGCCGTTGGCTCGACAGTCTCTGACCGGCCGGCGGCTCCCTGTGCTCCTCGGTCGGGTGTCCCTGGCACCAAAGGGTACCGGTAACCGCCCCCCTGCCGGTCCAGCTTCCCGTGTGCGCGGCCGTTGTGCCGGTGACTCGGGCTCCGTCAGGGAGCGCTGGAGCAGGGAACCCCGGGCACAGTAAAGCTTTCCTGTCTCACTGTGGAAAGCAAGCAGTGGGGAAAGAACCCAACAAAACCACCTGTTGGCACTGCTGTAGTGAGGTGTTGACGGTTTGAAAAGCCTTTCAAAGGACGGGAGCAGGAGCTTTAACCAAAAAAAAAAAAAAAGAAATCTGCCTTGCCTTGTTATACTGACGTAACTAATAGCTCGCATTTTTTCATATCACTGTGTAATTTAAGGTGCATATATCCTGGCCTGCAGTCCCGAAGGCTGCATGTTGATGATTATTTAATTTGAGAGCACAACTTTAGAGTTGTCTGATTTTACTTTTCTTAAAGAAAAATAATATTTAAAATGGTCTTAATTATAGTACCTAATACTCAGTCGCCTTTAAAACTAATCTATTAGCCTGTACCATAGGTTGTTAGCATTGGGAAGAAGGGGTAGTAAACCAATTTAAATTTTTAAAGCCCAATTCCAGGTATTATGAATGCACACTGAGAATACCTTTTATTTTAAAAAAAAACAAATAAATCTAGTGACAAAGGGTGAAGAACATTGGTACTAAACACTTAGGCTTTTATTTTCTTTTCTTCCAAGTCTGCTGGCAACAAACCTTCGTAACCAGTATCTGCCTCTTTGGTTGTGGTTTTCTGTACTTCAAATATTGACGCTTAAAAACTGTTAGGAACATGTGGTGGGCTGTTAACTGTGCCCTGACTACATGGGACAAGAAATAGTGCTCATGAGGTTTTCAGTTTGAGGGCAAAATTCAACTCTTAATGAGTAACTCTTGGTTCCAGCAGCTTGCTTTCCTTCCCCCTTCAGAAAAGGGGACCGAGGTGGGACCTGCCCATGGAGCAGAACCACGATTTTGCCCGGGGTTACTAAGACCACTGTGAAACCCAGATGGAAAAGGGAGGCAGCAGTAAGTCTGACCTCTTAAAAATGGGACATATTTTCAGAGAACTGCACGTGTACGGAATTTGATGAGCAGGCTGCAATTCTGGCAATTCTCTTAAGATGAGGTTTGTGTTACTAACAATAATTTTATTAAATATATTCCGGAAAATTCAAATTGTCCTCTAGTGGAGATACAGTCGCTGTGGAGGTTTTTAACTTTGCTGACAGGGGTCTGGACGACCTTGGTGGTGACAGCCGAGGGTACAGGGTTAGAGTGACAGGACGGGAGCTGTTGGTGCGGTGGTGAAGACGCAGGTGTCCTTCCACGTGAGGTCAGTTCCCGGAGCGTAAGCGTGCCACGCGTCTGAGCCCCGGCTCACCTCCCCCCGTTCTGTTCAGCAGCCACAGCCCAGAGCAGGTGCTCGCAGTCGCTGTTGCCTCAGCCCAGGTGACAGCCCTCACCTCAGAGCTGGGGTGAGGTTAAGAAAACCAACAGGCTGGTTCTAGTGCGCTAAGCTTGTCCAAACAGCGTCTGTAGTAACCTGATCTGTGGCACTTGATGACAGGATGGAGAAGTTTATGGGAAGAGCACAACTCTGCTCTAATACAAAAACAGACAATCAAAAAGTAGATTTCTAAGGTTTCCCTACTGAAACAAAGCAGGGGCAGGATTACCCTGTTGGTTCTGGGAAATTTTACTCTCCAAAGTCTTTTTCTGTACAGTGGCCCTTTGCCCTGGCCTATTTCTGCGGGACCCGAGGCCAGGGGACAGGATTCCCTCTCCTCGCGCTGATGCCTGCTGAGTGACTGATGGGTTTATGTGGATCCTGGCTCGAGAGGTTACTGCTGGACAGCAAGAAAAGCAGTACAGGCAGCCTGGAATACAGAGTGACAAAATCTTAGATTTTATATTCACTAGCTTCAGTTTACAATTCCAAAGCTGATACAGGATCAACTCACCATAAACTAGTTTTTAAGTGTTGAATTTTCCTTAGGTATCAGAGCCAGAATGGTGTGTATGCATATACTGAAAAGCTAATGCACTTTCCCTTGTATAAGAGCAGTGGTATACGTAATCCTTTCTATGGCCCTTTGATTTCTTTCCTTCTATGCTGTAAATACGGATTGTATTATGAAACACTATGAAATTTGTGGTGCAATACATTTTGGATCAAAACCCTCAGCTCGATTTCTTTCTCTTTATAGTTCTGGTTAGCTCCACGGGGATGCTGTAGCATTTCAAAGTGAGAGAATTTTAAAGCAGGAAACAACGGCCACCGCCTTCTGCCCGGGTTAAGAGTGGGTGTGTCAGCCCCAGGGAATTCAGGCCTGTTTCTCCCAGGGACTGGAGGCAGGAATGAGGCAGAGCTTCCTAAAACCGTCCCTCACCACCGACAGCTGCTGCTGCACTCTCAGCAGCTGGTAAAGCCCCAACAGAGCAGCTGCTTCGCTCCCACTGTGCTCCTTTGTTCCAAAACAGAGGCTCCTTCCCGGCAGCGGGACCGGCCAGAGGAGTCGTGTCCTCTTGGGACAAACCGAGGGTAAAAGGTCTGGGCGTGTGGACTGCAAGGAAGCAGCTCGTCCTGCGGTACTCAGGGCCTTCAGAAACTGAGGATGTGCTAGCACGTAAATAATAACTTCTGAAGTATTTCCTCAAGGATATAAAAATCAAACCATGGGCAGTTACCTGTTATATTCTCTGCATCTTAGAAGCCTTGACTGGAACAGCTGAGCTTGGTCTCAGTGCGTACAGCCAGCACAGTTGGGTTTGAGGACAAATTCTGTAATAGCTGGAGTGAAAGCACAGGTGGACACTTAGCTTAGACCTGGCGCATCGCTGGCCTGCTTTTTGAATAAGTGTCAGACTTAGAAATGAGGGAAAAATAAATTACTTCACTCGTGATCCAAGACCTTTATTGATGCAGCAGGCACTTTACATTGAAACCAGCCCCACAGTCCAACTCGTCCTTCGCACAAGACGGCCGTTCCAAGGAACGTTTCTCCCGGCCGGGGCTGTCGGGATCTTGCATCTGCCAAGGACGGAGCCACCTCTGCCGTCAGCAGCAGGAGTGACACAGCAGCATCTGAGAACACCTGCTCCCTCGCAGTGCCAGGAGGCAGAGCGTGCCTTCTCTCCGCCTTGAAAGAAGGGATCAGGAGAACGTCTTGGCTCCCGTATTTGATAGTCAGAATATGCAGGAGTACCATTACTCTTCCACCACCTTTAAGGTTAAAAGCATTCCCAGAGGAGGTTTCCATAGTATTTCAGTAGATTTGCAATCTCTAATAATGATGGACCAGTGTTGTTTACTTCTTCTGAGTCCAAAACTGAGCGTTGTCTCGGTTCAAGTCACTAAAGTCTTTTAAACAGTCTTTCTTGCTGTGAGGACTCTTACTATGGAACCCAGTCCACCTACTGCTAATGCCTGTGGGGACGGGAAAAGAGAGAAGTTACGTGGCGTCATCAAGTCTTCAATAACAGAAGAGTACGTGGCTCCTCACCAAAAAACTATTTTTCACACACAGGCAGCCTGAGCTGTTCCACCTCCTTCCACCTGTTTTGCTCTCAAATCTCTCAAACTTGGTGCTCCTGCTCCAGCACCAAAGCACAAAACCAGACACAGTAATTCAGTAACCCATACACCACTTCATCTGAAGGGAAAATTACATTATCCAAACTCTAACCAGCTCCTGGAGCTAGAGAATGCCGATGCTGCGCGTCACGGGCGAGGCGCTGTCCCGTGTCCCTCCACGGGGAAAGGACAAAGGGCTCCTTTTGGTTTGAATCCCTCAGTGGAAATAGCGTATCCTTCTAAAGCCTAAAAGACGGGTGTGATTATGAAAAAAATAAATATTACAGCTGACTGCTTAAGGTAAAGCATATTTACTTTGCAGACATAATTCAAAGAGAGCCCTGTGGGTATCGCAGCGTGCAAAGTGAGCACAGCCATCAGCAGCCTGAGACACCCGCTGTCCTTAGGGAACGACCGCGAAGCGGCCGGGCAGAGTAGAAGCCGCACGCGGGCCAACGATCCCCCGCCGCCAGACATGATC